CCAGGGACACCACGTGGGACTGAAATTAAACGGGACACATCAGCTGTTGGTCTATGCCGATGATGTAGATACCATAAAGAAAAACACACAAACTTTATTTGACGCAAGTAAAGAGGTTGGTCTAGAAGTAAACTCAGAGAAAACTAAGTATATGTTACTGTCTCATCTCCAAAATGCAGGGCAAAATCATGACATAAAGATAGGAAACAGATGTTTTGAAAATGTGGCACAGTTCAGATATTTGGGAACGTCTATAACAAATGAAAACCTGATTCAGGAGTAAATTAAGAGGAGATTGAACTCGGGTAATGCTTGCTACCATTCAGTCCAGAACCTTTTGTCTTCTCGTCTGTTGTCCAAAAACATAAAAATTAGAATATACAAAACTATAATTTTGCCTCTGGTTCTGTATGGGTGTGAACCTTGGTCTCTGACTTTAAGGGAGGAACATAGACTGAGGGTGTTTGAGAACAGGGTGTTGAGGAGAATATTTGGACGAAAGAGAGATGAAGTGACAGGAGGTTGGAGAAAACAGCATAATGAGGAGCTTCATAAGTTGTACTCTTCTCCAAGTATAAGTAGAATGATCATGTCAAGGAGGATGAGGTGGGCAGGTCATGTTGCACGAATGGGGGAGAAGAGGAATGTGTGTAGGATATTGGTGGGAAAGCTGGAAGGAAAGAGACCACAGGGAAGGCCAAGGCATAGGTGGGTGGACAATATTAGAATGGATCTTAGAAAGATAGGATGGGATGGTATGGATTGGATAGATCTGGCTCAGGATAGGGACCAGTGGAGGGCTCTTGTGAACACAGTGATGAACCTTCGGGTTCCATAAAATTCTGGGAAATTCTTGAGTAGCTGCAGAATTGGCAGCTCCTCTAGAAGGGCTCAGCTCCATGAGTAAGTAATTAAGTATATCACCTGTAAAATGGGCAAGTGTTCTTGGCATGAAGAAGAATTCATTTTTACATATAAGTACATATGTCAAATATGTCAGCTCACTTATTGTAATCCCAATCATATTTGAGAGGCATCTACCATAACGGTTGTGGAGGAGACCCTTCTTAGTACACCTGAGGTATTTAGGCTTCATTCTCTGAAGTTTCCACTTGGTAGCACAATGGTATTTATGTAAGTCCTGAAGACAGTATTTTAATTTTCTTGTATGATCCATTGTTTTTTTTCCTTTGCAGTGGTGCAAGATTTCATGAAAAGTTCCTACAACATGAATATTATATTGTAACATGACGCCTGAAAGCCGGAATAGTGAAGTCAGAAAAGACGGCCATTGCTAGGTAACGGTTGGCTAAACACGTTCCGAGTGTTATACTATCAACAAATGCATGTCTGTTGCTGGACAACGGTTAGGTAAACATTGTTCCCGCATCAACAAATTACTGTGGCAATGGGTACACGGAATAGAGGAACATAAATGGTGTTCTGTCTGTGGTCCACACTGGGTCGTGAAAGGACACTTAATTGATTTGCAGGAATGAGTCAGTTGTACTGAGTAGTAGAAGACTAAAGGCCAGAGAGCAGTCCAAGAAGTAGAAAAAATACAGTGAGAGGTTCTTTATGGGGAAGGAGTTAAATGTGTGAACTGCTATAATCAAGTGTAATTGTAATAGAGACATCCAATAAATCAAATCTAAAACCCACAACTATTAGTCACGCAACCCCATACATGTGACAGTTTTGTGTCAGAAAGTGGTTATGACCTCAAATTCATAACGTTTTGCTGTCAGAATTGGTTGGATTTGATCGATTGGACCAAATTATTAGATTATAAATGGCATCAATGGAAATGCATATATACAAACTGGAACTCCTAAAAGCTATTAAAGAAATGATGGCAAGATTGGAAGCCAGTAGAAAAGCTGACCAAGAAGAAATGCTAGAAAAAATAGATGCCAACATGAAATCCATGAAAGGAGACATAAAAGCTGCCTGAAAACAAAGAAAGGGAGGAAGGGAAGCTGACTGAGGAGAAAGGAAATAAAAAATAAGAGCCGACCAGGAACATCTGAAAGATGAGATGAAAGCCCAAATGGCTTCCCTCATCTCCTGGATAGGGGACACTGACGAGAAGTTCGAAGTTTTGTGAGACATTCTCTTCTTTTGGACGGATGCCCTTCAGGAAAGGATAATGGCCCGCCTTGAAAAGACTGAGGCCACGGATTTGAAGGCAAATCCAGAGGAAATGCAGTCTGAGGCAGAAGATCAAGACATCTCTAAGGAACAGGTCATAGTGAAATCTGTTGGAGGACTTAAGAAGCGGCATTGTGGCCAAAATCTGGCTGCAGAGTGCCACCAGAAACCAAAGGAATGGACCCAGGTAAATTGTGGAGCCTGGAGGAAATTGGCTGCTGCTGGCATGAAATGGCCTACCATGCAAAAGTGGCATGGTGCAAGGGAAATGTCAGGAAAATTCAGACTAGAGACGAGGACAGATGAGGGACTTTGAAAAAACACAACTGTGGCATAAGGAACAGACGAATGCGATAGTGGCTACAAAGCAAGAGGGAATTCTCCAAGATCTACAAGAAAACCACTGGATTGGAGATGGCAAGGCTAATTGCCAGATCTTCTGTTAGCTTGCAGACACTCAAGGATTGGACCTTGTGGAGTGGTTGACCCCCTCTGAAGCAGAAAAAGAGGCCACACACGAGAGCTGGAAATGTGGGAGCACCGGCCACTCAGTATAGTTTTGCCCCAGTCGGAATGAAAAAGGACAGAAAAAGGTTAATGTTTGTATACAGAGAGCCTTTTGGGATGAGCACACTTAAGAAGCTAGCGGTGGTAGCAATTGGAGAATAGTTGCTGCAGCAGGAGGAACCAAGCTACAGGAAAACGTCACAAGCAGAAACCTCAGAAGGAAGGAATGGTGATACACTGCTAGGCTCTTCGGGATGAATGGTCTTATGTGACATGACACCTGAAAGTCAGAAAAGACGGCCATTACTAGGTAATGGTTGGCCAAACATGTTCCAAGTGTTACGCTGCCAATGAATTGCTGGACAACGGCTAGGTAAACATTGTTCTCACAGCAACGAATTGCTGTGGCAATGGATACACAGATAACAGAGGAACTGTAAGAAATGGTGTTCTGTGAAAGGACACGTAATTGATTTGCAGGAATGAGTCAGTTGTACTGAGTAGATTAGAGGACAGTCTGAGAAGCAAAAAAAATACAGTGATAAAACCGTTATCAAGAAGGAGTTCAGTGTGTGAATTGTTATAATCAATTGTAATTGTAATAGAGATATCCAGTAAATCCAATTGTCAAATCTAGAACCCACAGCTATTAGTCACACCTGTGAAATTTCAATGGGAAGATGTAAAAATTCCCAACACAAGCTATTGTTTCCACTGGTAGCCCTTCCATGAATCCATTCTTATATATTACAGGTCTTGAGTGAACTTAAAAAGTTTTGGAAATGCACCTTAATAGAATGCACATAGTAACACTAGTCTAGGGGTACCTTTTTTGACATTTATACTGACTGATGACTCTGTAATACCAACTGAAACATTGCAAATTATTTACACCATGCTGTGGCTGTGTTTATACTTAATTGATGTTCGTTTTGCATTTGGTTTCTGTGGAAATGTCATAATGGCAAACCAACAGACATTACAGCAAACATGCTGGCGATAGATGAATTATATGTACTGCATATATCCCATTATGTTTCTGTGTAGTGATTTTATTATACTTTAATTATGGCTGTCTCTACACAGCAAACTATTCACTTAAATAAGCTGTTAGTTAATTGTAGTTTTCTAGCTGTTGATGAACTGATATTAACATGTTTCAGTTGGTGCTGTTTACTTCAGTGAAGCCAGTTCCTACACTAAACAAGGAAGTGGTTCTAGTTAGTGTCCAGCCAGATTTTGATTACAATCATCCTTCTTCAAAGTAAGCAGTGAAATGATTTTTTAAGGTTTGCCTGTTTGCACCTTCATGTATAAATGCCAGGTCTTCTGTTGGGTCCACAGTTTTAACAGCATGTGTATATCTGAACTCTTTGTCATGTACTGAGTTCTTCTGTATATGCATTAGCAACTTCATCAGTATCAGTTCCTCTGCCCAGACTCCCAACTTGTCTTGCAGTCTCCATAATTACACACCCAACCACCCATTACTGTCGAAATTCTGCACCACATGTCCACCATTGATAGGCAGGAATGTTCGTGTTATTTTGCTGACTGCCTGGCCATACATGCCTGCTGAACAGTGAGGCCTGCAAGCAGCTGTTTGAAAAGGCAGCCTTGATTGGAGGATTAATAATGTTTGCACTTACCTTGTTCTTGATATTAATTTTTTCTGGTAAGATGACTGCAGGCAGCAAAGCAATCCTTTGATGTGTGACAGTCATCTTTTAACAGCATGAGGAAGGAAGAAATTCTCTTACACATCTTTTGATGGTCATGTTTGTCTGAAACATGGCCATTTGCTGTGAAGCAAACTGACACCTGTTTGTATACAGTTAGGTGTTCCCCTTACCATTTTACACATCCTGTGGGAATGCCCACATTATGATGATGCTAAATCTTCCATCTTAATGACATGTTATGTAGCATTAGGTATTCCTTCATGATTCTGGTTTAGGCAGATTTATGTAATCAGCTATGTTTTGTTTTCCTGCTTCAGTCATTTTTATCTTGTTGTTTTTTATGTTCTGACTGGCCCAATTATAGTCCGCTTTTAACACAGTGGTATTCATCGGTTTATAGTTTGTCCCAAGTGAGTATGCTTCTTTACTTGAGGCTGGAGGTAGAGAGCAGTCTCAATGCTGTGTTGAATAAAGACAGGATGATGGGTAAAGTCCAAAATGCCAGTAATTGTATGTACACACTGTTAGTTGGACCACTCTACAGTGTAACAAATGTTTAATTTTACACTGTGTTTAGGATTTTCTTTTGCTGGATTACCGTCCAGGTGTATATAGCAGTCGATGCTGAAATGCCTGTAAACCCATTCACTCACTGCATAAAAGCATAAATACTTTTTTGAGCTCTCATCAGAGTAAATCCTTAAAATATTTTAGCTTATCACAATAAATGTGGTTATTTGCATTAGTTTATAATTCCAGCTGCTGAACACACACACATGCACAGCAAACTCTTATGAGCCACTTTTTGATAAAATCAGTAAAGTTTCGTTTGAGCCTCATGTGAACTGGGAATTTTACCGGACCAATAAGAACCAAAGTTAGATTTGAATAACAATTTTTAGTGTAGGTCCCCATTCCAAGTACTGTATTTCATGAAAAGCCATTTAGTAGTTTTAGATGACACATGTAGGTGTGTGTATTGCGGGTCAGAGATGACTTCCCACTACATGAAGGCGCTTTTCTGAAGAGTACTAACTGAACTAACTTCATATAGCTGAACCCTTCTTGAGAAGCCTCCAGTTTTTGAACTACTCAAGAACTTTCCAACATATTATGGAACCCAACAGTTCATTACCATGTTCACAAGAGCCCTCCACTTGTCCTTATCCTGAGGCAGATCAACCCACTCCACACCATCCCATCTTATCCGTCAAAGACCGATTTTAATATTATCCACCAAACTACCTCTTGGTCTTCCTGGTGGTCTTTTTTCTTCTGGCTTTCCCACCAGTATCCTATATGCTTTCCTCTTCTCCTCATTCATGCTACATGCCCTGCCACCTCATCCTCTTGGATTTGATCATTTTGATTATACTTGGAGAAGCGTACAAGCTATGAAGCACCTCATTATGCAGTTTTCTCCAACTTCCTGCCACTTCTCCCTTTCAATGCAAATATTCACCACAGCCCCTGTTCCCAAATGCCCTTAGTCTGTTTTCCTCCCTTAATGTGAGAGACAAAGTTTCACACCATACAGAACCACAGGCAAAACTTTGTGAAGCAAGAATGAAAAATGAAGTATGAAGTGCACATACTTATACAAATGTACATGTGGGCACCCAAATGCTTCTCCAAACACAAAATAGGGAAACGAGGCTTATTAGGTTCTCTGAAGAATACAAGGGGTAGTCAGAAAGTTCCTGGAATGGTGGTATAGCACTCTAATGGTAGGATATATGGCAACGCTTACCTAATCACCTTCAAAGTATGACCATTGCACGCACACACACTTGCTTCATCGATCCTGCCATTGTTGGAAGCAGTGGTGGAAGGCTTCTTTTGGAATCTTCCGTTGCATTCGATTTGATGCCCTCCATGGTTGCGAAAAGTGTCCCCTTGCCCATTTTCAGAGTAGGGAAGAGCCAAAATCACTCGGAGCGAGATCCGTAGAGTACGGTGGTTGAGTGATGACAGGAATGTTTTTCTTGGCGAGGAATTGCTGCACAACAAGTGATGTGTGGCTTGGTGCGTTATCGTGATGTAGAAACCACTGTCCCTGCCATTTGTCGCGCTGCTTCCTCCGAACCGCATCGCGCAACCTTTGCAAAACTTGCATGTAGAAATGTCCAGTAACTGTCTGTCCAGGCGGTACGAACTCATGGTGCACCAAAAGCGTCGATGTCAAAGAATGCAATGAGCATCACTTTGTCTTTGGATCTGACGAGGCATGATTTTTTTTGGCCGGGGAGACGACGCTGTGTGCTACTCTGATGACTGCATCTTCGTCTCCGGGTCGTAGGCGAACACCAATGACTCATCACCTGTGACGATCTTTTTGAGAAACGTCGGGTCCTTCATACTTCTGTCAAACAAATCGCCAGCGACCATCATGCGACATTCCATCTGATACGTGGTCAGCTGCCTCGAAACAAACTTCACACTGACGCGTCTCATCTTCAAATCATCAGACAAAATGGCATGAATGGATTCGTGAGAGATACCAACTTCTTGCTCCAACTCCACGATGGTAATTCTTTGATCTCATCGAATAAGTCGTCACACTTTTTCAATTATTTCTTCGGTTCTGGATGTCGAAGGTCACCTGCTGCACTGGTCATCCTCTAACGTCTCCTGCCCACTCTTAAACCAGGAAAACCAGTTGTAAATTTCGGATTTCTATAGTGCAGTATCACCGTAAACTTGCTGCAGAGCCGATTGCATCTCTGAAGCAGATTTTCCCAATTTGCACATGAACTTGATGTTCGCACGCTGTTCGAACTGTGACATTGCACCGAATGACCAACGCTTACGTCTAATTCAAACAGAACAGTAACTACACTGCACACTGAAACCTGTCCAAACCTGTTAACACCTGCGAGCAGACATGCTGAGCTCCCCACCACAACAGTGTGTGTGCTATCCTATCACTCGTTCTCCGTCTGCAGGGGAATTCCGGGAACTTTTTGACTGCCCTACATACAATCAGAAGACTAGGTGTATGCAACCCTTGCACTGTATCCAGTTAGTTTATCCACTGTACTCCCTGATTCAATTAACCCTTACACTCTCAAGCATATGTTTTGCGTAAGTGAGTTAGCATCTTAAAATTCCATGACTAATGCTGCTTAGCTAACTTGTTTGTATAAAAGTGTCTGCTGGTGACCGAGCAATGAGCATACATCCTTTGTTGTTTCAGGACACTGACTGTTTCGATTCCTCATGCCACAAGACAAAATGGGAGCCTGTATCTACACCTGTTCACATTACCCCGCCGAGAACATCAACCAGATGCTCATAACTGGGACTTTTGGAAGCTGAGGCAGGACCCAGTGACGGTGTATACAAGAATCAGACTGACTCAGTATCATGTTCCTGAGGCAGCCACCTTCAGACTTCTAGAAGGAGGGGACCGCAATGAACTGAAGAAAGTATGTGACATACCTGTTCATATGTACAGGACAGCAGAGCATGAATATGAGGAGCTTTAAGACGACAGTAGTTTCATTGTTCAGTTACAAGCAGCAGTTACTGTTCTGTTTAACGGTTATTGTTTCATTAAACCACAACATTTATACAAATACACTAAAGTAAGAGTACAAGTATGGATTTTCAGTAATTTAAAAGAACCTTTAAGCTAGAGAGACTGTTTTGCTTTCAGTGTGAATCAAACAGAAGATACCAGTAACATTTATTTCTCCACAATGTATGAAGATAACATTGACTGGAATTGGAAGTTAAATAGTACTAAAAACATGGATGTATGTCCATATTTCTCTCTGTTGTGTTGGCATGTGCAGATAGAGGCCTAGCTTTTAGCCAGTCCTCCAACCAACCTTACAAAATACACGATTTTAAGCTTTCATGGCAATAGTTTCTGAGGTGATTATGTGTGTTAGTGTGGAGTTTGTTGCCATCATCAGGGGTTTATGTTATGAGTGCTGTGTTTGCATGTTATATTTGTACATTTGTGAGACACGTGGGTGATAAAGGTTAATATATAATAATGATCGTAGTAGTAAACTTGCATAAGAGGCAAGAGTTTGCATATTTGTCTTACACATAGAAGATCATTTGAATTGAAATTAATTCTTTGCATAATAGGACCAGTTATCAACACAAGACAAGCCAGATGAACGGTTGCAGCGGGTAACTCACCTCAAGTCCCGTGTTACATTCAACATTCTCACTGATGATATCAGTCTGCCAACAAGTCACCTGCCACCTGAAATTGCACGATTACTCATGTATGTACTTCATACCATGTTTATTAAGTTTAAGGAATGATAGTGTAAAAGTTGATGCACCATACTTGCATTCTTTTACTGTTCATCTCTGACTTTGAAGTGTTCCGTATCAGCTGATTTATCACTGTTGGCATTTTTTAAGGTATTTGGTATAGCCCTAGATGGGTTTTCTATTTTGGTGGGAAAGAGAAGGGGAAAGTTACTAGGTGGTTCAAATATCACTGGGACTGATTTTTTTGTAAACAAGCTGCACTGTGCAGCAGCTGTGCAACCTTGAGAGATTGTAGTCACAACCTCCACTCTCCCTCCTGTTAGGGTTAGAACCTGTTCAGTGCTGTCTGGGAGTTTCTAGAGGGATGAGCGTACAGAAGGTATCATGGAGCTTGGAATAACGCATTGTGTTCAAATTCCTCGTTGGCGAAAACGTCCCGTCCGCTGAAATTCACCACAGACTCCAACAACAGTATAGGGAAGAGTGTCTCTCACGGACCCGTGTGTTTGAGTGGTGTAAGTGCTTCAGAGAGCGTGTGGAGAATGGACCGCACAATCGTCAGCTGCGAACATCTGTCACCGAGCCAAACATTGATCGTGCAGACGCACTTATTCGTGAGAATAGGCGCATCACTATCAAGGAACTTGGAGCAATGCTGTCCATCAGTGTTGGTAGTGTAGAAGACATTGTGAAATACCACCTGCACTATCGCAAGGTGAATGCATGGTGGGTACCACGCACTTTGACGGGCATGAACAAAATGGTGTGCATGCAAGTTGCCAGTCGTCTCTTACAGCAGTTTGAAGTCGAAGGTGGTGCATTTTTTAAGTCTGTAGTGACCACCGATGAAACGTGGGTGCACTACTTTATTCCTGAGTCCCAGCAATCATCACGCGAGTGGCGGCATACCAGTTCTCCCAAACCCAAGAGAGCGCGGAGGAGCTGTTCGGCAGGAAAAGTGATGGCAATGTTCTTCTGGGACTGACGGGGTTATCCATGCAGACTTTCTGACAGATGCCAGAACAATCAATGCAGCTTATTACTCAGACCTCCTGGCAACAGACATGAAGGAAAAGATCCGATCCAAGCGGAAGAGAGGTGGAAAGCAGGTAGCCTTCCTTCAAGACAATGCACACCCCCATACGTCCAAAACAACAATGGAAACCCTCCGAAATTGAAATGGAACCTTCTGACACATCTGCCGTATAGTCCCGATTTGGCACAAATGATTTCTACCTGTTCGGAAGGCTCAAATCAGACTTGCAAGACATGCGGTTTGTGGACAATGACGCAGTCATCCAGACTGTTTGGGAGTGGATACGCCACCAACCACAAGACTTTTTTGAAAAGGGCATCAGGATGCTTCCAGAACGTTGTAAAAAAATGTGTTGACTCCAGAGGGGAGTACATTGAAGACTGAATGTGCAAGTAGGTGTTTGGCAATTTTGGTTTAAAAAAAAATCAGTCCCGGTCATATTTGAACCACCTTGTATGTAGTTGCTCTATTACTGCTATTTTGCTGTCTCTAGTATCAGTGTAACAGTGGCTTTCAGTGCTAATTTAACTCATAAAATAAAAGTTGCATGTAATTTCTTGTGGCTAATAAGGGCAGAACAGTATGGTCACTATCTCCAATGGCAACTGAAAAATTTTCTCTGGTGACTAATTACTCACTCTGTGTTTGAGGGTTGGCTTTTGAAGCTCTGGCATTCTCAGTTGCTTATGGGAAAGCGGCAGTGGCTACCACGTCTGAAGACGTAAAGATCTCTCTGTTATATTTGAGTTTTCCATGCCATTCTGAAGCAAGGTACCTGAAAATACTGACCCACCTTTTGTGGTGGAAAAATATTTGTTGGCCACAAGATTTTCAAAAATATTTTAACTGCTGGTGTGCATGGTAAAACAGTTGACTTCTTATCTTGCCAGGAATTCCTGAGTAAACAATGTGTTGTTTGGCCTCATGTCATCATGAGGAAAAGCTCACTTTTGCGTCAATCATGATTCAAGCTGATGGCAACAACTGCTGTAACAGAAGTGGTGCAAAGCATTTTTGTGACTGTGTTGGTTAACATTTTGCTCCTGTGAAACAAATCCCATATGCAGCCTGTGCCAAGAAATTGCACATACTTTCTCTCAGATGACTGACTTTGATTTCCTTGGAAATGAAACTGATTATTACTTTGTAGATCACTGTTGGTTTCTGATTACAGAACAATCCTTCTGAATGTAAAGGCAGTTTTGACAAAGTCAGCATTTCACATTTGGGCCAATAATGCATATACCATTACTTTTCTGTAAATATTACATGTTCATTCTTATTCAGGGAGATGAACTCCACAAATTACCAAACTGCAATCAAAATCGTTCCAGTAGTTTTGGAGAAAATCACCATTATGTATTTCATGACCCATCTGAACAGTCCCTGTTTCTGTATCGTCTTTGTATTTATTATAAGTTCAAGAGATCCAAAGATGGATATAGAATGTGTCATAAAATAAAATAGAGCACAGAATACATACATAAATATTACACAACTAGACAATACAGTGATACAACAACAATAAAAATTATCTATTTAGATATTCATCCACAGTATAAAACACATGAGTGTTCAAGAAATGCCTTAATACAACCTTAAATTTTTAAAATTATTAGATGTGTTCTTGATCTCTATGGGAAATTTATTGAATATTTTTATATCCTCATAATAAACTCCATTTTGATAAATATTTAAATTAGCTTGAGGTAGATACAAATCTTGTCTTTGTCTAGTATCAATAGTATGAGAATCAATGTTTGGGGGAAAAGAACTTTATTTTGCAATACAAATACAACGAAAATATATATTATGATGCAAATGATAAAATATTTAACTCTATAAATATGTTTCTACACGAAACTCTGTTGCTGCAATACTCATATTTCCTGGGCGGTGACGTATTACAGATAAACTCTTGAATAAAATCTGTCCATCTGGTCGGTCACCAGGTCACTAATGAGGCACACATCCATACATACAGCCCACAGACAGATGGCATACCAAAAACTTCTTTCCATGTTCAGGGATGCTGAAAATGTATAAATCTGTATATATTTCTAGATAATGTTTTACATTATCATAGCCCTTTCTCATATAAACTATGTTTAGCATAAGAAAAGCCAGATAATTTTTGTTGTATTTGTTTTTGAATCTTTCTTTATGGTAGGTAAACTTGTGCCTGTCAGCTGTATGCTTTGCTGTTTCATATCATATTATAGGCATCATGTTCTGTCTCAGACAGTAATGGAACAGACCGTGTTTTCATTGTGTGCAGTTCGTGGCAAATATGTTATGAGTTTTTCTGAGTATAGCTGGATGGTGTACAGAATTCTAATGCAGAAAAGTCAGTACAGATGGTTGTGAAAGTAGTAGCAGATCCACAAGCTCAAGAGCTGCTGACAGCAAAGCAGTTGTGAAAATGTGAACTGCAGCACATTCTGTGCTATTACTCTTTGAGATAAAACCTGGTGCCTGTAGCATGACCTTCATGTGAAACAAGAAAGCACACAGCAGACAGGCAGAAGTTCACCTACCTTAAAGAAACAGCAGCAGTTGAAGAGACTATTGGACATGAGGATTCCTCAAGATTCCAATAAGATAATTTAAACGTAGGTTTCTGTTCCAGAGTGACTTCTAAGATGGAGTATCTCCCTGTGGTACAATACAATTTTCTCAATAATCGTCTTCGAGACCTGATCCACGTTACAAGCAATCATACGTATGAAGACATAATGCTTTTGTATTCACCTATAGGCATTGGAAAACTCAGGTAGGCTTGTGATTTAGGTTTGTACAGTTCTGCATGATTTGATATAGAGCGTTTAAATTATTGTCAGTAGTAATCCTGGCCACTGGACTGCATGGTCTGTAGTAGATAGGTTTACTTGGACTGAATGCATATTTCAGTTTTATTTACTTATTATAAAATCAAGATTCAGTTGAGCATTAAAACAGGTAAGCACTTGCATAACTGAGGGTGGCTGCGACTAGTTGTTCCTTATGGTTGATTCAATTCAATTCAATTTATTTAAACATTCCGTTGATCCTTAGTGTTACAGTAATGACCAGTAGATTTGGAATTAGTCACAGACAAAACCAGACAAGTAGCATCACATTAACAAGATACGAATATGAATACATCAGTAATTCATCTCCACAATACAGTATCTCAAACATTGTTCTAATATCTAAAAGCAGATTATTTATTAGGACATTACATCAATTATTACTTACAAACAATACCAAGACAACAAACAGGTCATAGATGCTTGCACACTTAATACCCAGGACATATATGAGCAGATTATAAGTATCATAAAAAAGTTTACTTAGTAGGGAGTATAGTCCAGCTGTTCAGTTTACTTTACAGTTAAAATATTCGTCCAAGGAATAAAATGAATTGGAAAGAAGAAACCTTTTTAGCATCCGTTTGAATAGTTTCATTTCATTACTCAGACCTCTTATATGAGTTGGAAGATGATGATTATAAGCTCTGATACTAGAGTAGTAGGGTCCTTTTTTGAAAACTGTCAAATGTGATGTAGGAAGGTGCAAGTTTGTGCTATGTCTAGTATTGAAGCTATGAATCTCATGATTCAATTTGTACAGATCTTTATTTTTTATGACAAACAGTATTATCAAGTGTATTCACAATATGTATATATTGTGAATACATTGGCAATATATTTAATTTTTTAAATAGATCCCTACAGGAGTCTCTAGTTTTTGCATTCATAATAACTCTAATTATCTGCTTTTGTATCCTAACGACATTGATACTGTTAGACGCATTACCCCAGAAAATTATACTTATTATTATGAACTGTGTCATCAGATTTTGTATTAAAATTCAGTATTTAATTTTGTACAAGAAATATTTTCTTTCTTAAGGAAAATAAACTAGGCTAACCATTCTGTTTGTTCATTTCTGTGTTCCCTTTCAGCATTTAAATGGGGTGGCTGGTTTTCACAAAATTTGGCATGAACATTTTGCCAGTCAAATCCAAGGCCATCTCATCATCTTTGCCAGTCTGTATGTATGTTTTTAGATTTTGGTCTCCTGTGTTATGATGTCATGTAGTCTTACAGATGGTTGCCAACTTATACTCTGATGATGGATTCATTTCATAGTGTATAGCAACATTTTCCTAAGTTTGTAAGAAGTGGCCTGTGTGAATTTGAACTCCCAGACAGCCGAGTTCTGGCACAGAAATGCCTAGGCTGCTTGGTGATAAATTCATCTGCATTTGCTTACTTACTTACTCATGGAGCTGAGCCCTTCTGGAGGAGCCACCAAACCTGCAGCTGTTCAAGAATTTCCCATCATTTTATGGAACCCGAAGGTTCATCACTGTGTTCACAAGAGCCCTCCACTGGTCCCTATCCTGAGCCAGATTATCCAATTCATACCATCCCATCCTATCTCTCTAAGATCCATTCTAATATTGTCACCCACCTACGCCTTGGTCTTCCCTGTGGTCTCTTTCTGGACGAGAAGACAAAAGTTTCTGGACTGAATGGTAGCAAGCATTACCCGAGTTCAGTCTCCTCTTAATTTCCTCCTGAATCAGGTTTCGATCTGTTATCGTTGTTCCCAAATATCTGAACTGTGCGACATTTTCAAAACATCTGTTTCCTATCTTTATGTTATGATTTTGCCCTGCATTTTGGTGATGAGACAGTAACATATACTTAGTTTTCTCTGTGTTTACTTCTAGACCACCCTCTTTACTTGTGTCAATTAAAGTTTGTGTGTTTTCCTTTATGGTATCTACATTATCACCCAGTAGATTCACATGATCAGCGTAAACCAACAGCTGATGTGTCCTGTTTAGTTTCAGTCCCACCTGGCTTCCCTGGACCTTTCTGATTGCATATTCTAAGGCAACGTTGAAAAGGAGTGGCAATAAAGCATCTCCTTGTTTTAGACCATTCTGGATAGGAAATTTATCAGACAAATGTTTACCTACACGGACTTTACTATACGTTTCGTTTAAACACAT